TCGCAGGATAACCCTATATGTAACATCTGTCATAGGACATCTCTCTATCTCACGTCTGTCGCAGGATAATCCTATATGTAACATCTGTCATAGGACATGTCTCTATCTCACGTCTGCCGTAGGATATCTCTTTATCTCTACTGACCACTACTGTAGCATTGACTCCTACTTCCTCTTTTTTCTTTCACTGCATGCTGCTTCCTGCCAGGTGAACTGTGGGGGTCAGCAGCTTAATGATTTCTATATATTATAATGTGTTCTATTTCTATTCTATTCTAATGTAACAGCTGCAGTGTCTGTGAAATTTATGAAAAATATGATGATGTCATGTAATAACCCTCTTGTTGCATTTTAGAGCGAAGAGAAATCCACTGTTCCTCATTGATCTCATCCTAGACCAGACCGGAGTGCACTATAGCACAAATCCAAGCAGCTTTGAGACAGCATTAATCAGCCTGTTCAACAAGACCATAGCCTTAACACAGCAAGTGCCTCAACTCGATGTGGTAACCCAGCATGTCTTAATTTGCATTCAATTAGTGACAAAATAAGCACTTTATACTAGATACAATTTAAGTTTATCTTTATCAGAATTCTACACATAAGCACGAGTCAGCCATTCCAAGCCTTTGCATGGGTATTGCTCTAATGAAGAGTAAACGTGCATCATCTCTGACGTCATCAGTGTTTAAAGGATCACAGTTCACTACACGCACGCGGGCAATCAAAACGCTCTGAAAGTTCACATGCATCATTATATGGAGAAATAAGCATGTACAAAGGTGGTACCTAGTGTTAGCCATCGAATAAGAATGAAAATCAATAAAATTTTCCATAAAAGCTCGAGGGTATCCTTAAATATCGAACCTGCTAGTTGTTCCTTCTCATTTCTGTTCACGTGCACTACAGGGAGCTATCGTTACTAGCATGCCATATTTCCGTCTCGATGTTTCTAGTTTGTGATGTCGGGCTTGTTTTGGAATGGCACGCCGCTGCTGGAGAGCGTTGGGCAGAGGGAGGCTGAGGTGGAGAGATTACGGGCATCTATACACGATGCCATGCAGAGGGCCTGTATACCGATGGTGGCGTATGCCGAACAGTACAGCAAACACTTGGAGCTGATGAACCTTGATGTCAATCAGTACATTCAGTAAGAACTGTTCGTAATAGAATTAGTAACAGCAGCTTGAATTGTTGTTGTTATTGTTGTTGTTGTTGGCATTAGTTTTGTTAAGCATATTATCTCTCGAGAGCCTCACCATGCAGAATTGAAACTTGAAGAATGAAATCAATGCCTTTAGTTGTGGCTGTTGTAAACCTTAACTTCAAACGAATTTTGCAAACCTTTGCAGGTCGAGTTATTTCCTAGATCTCCAATTACTAATAAAAAAAAGAGTAAATTTTGACTGCATTCTTAAATTCGTGTGACTGGGTATCTGTGGTGTAAATAATGCAATGGCAGGGTGATATTATTAGTAATGTGACATGGGTTCTCCAGGTTATATGATTCACAGCCACATACTGCAGCAGATGTTAAAAAAGACGTGGACATGCACCTGGCAGAGAAGGAAGTACTAGAGAACACCATCCCAGGTACAAGAAAGTCAGGTTTATTGTGTTCATGTGAAGACAATCTAGGATATATTTATTAGTACATTACCATGAACATATGCATATAATATACTAATTACCATGAGCATATGAATATAAACACAATTATACAGCAACTTGGTAGCTTTGAAATTTGTGTCACGTTACCTTTATCTGTCGTTTACCTGTACCTGTTATCAATTTCACAAGTTTTGTGCAGATTCAAGTAATGTGTCCTAATTATAGAATACTTGTCAGCAGCATGTATTGGCGATGTGTTGCAGGGTACAGTGTGATTGGACCATTCTGGGTAAACTGTGAAACACTGAAACAGCAGCTCATCAAGAAACGCAAGCTGTTAGCAAATGCATTGCTCGACCTGATGGCCAAAAAGCTGCATAGCATGGCTGATGATGTAAGTTGTATGTTAAACCTATAATTGTATATAGTAACTAGCGGGATACCCGGCGTTGCCCGGGGAAATCAGTGGCGTTACTCAGTTGGTGACCGCTTGGTTGAAAGGAAAATGCTTCAAAAAATCAAACTATCTATCTATCCATGTATTCATCCATCCATCCCATTCCATGCCATTTCATCCCATCCCATCACATCCCATCCCATCCCATCCCATATCCCATCCCATCCCATCCCATCCCATCCCATCCCATCGCATCTCATGCCATCCCATCCCATCCCATCCCATATCCCATCCCATCCCATCCCATCCCATGCCATCCCATGACATCCCATGCCATGCCATCCCATCCCATCCCATCCCATCCCATCCCATCCCATCCCATGCCATCCCGTCCCATGCCATATCCCATCCCATCCCATCCCAAACAGTAAAAAATAATAAGAAATCAAAAGATAAAAGACATTAAAAATAAAAAATAAAAAGTAAAAAGTAAAAAATTAAAAATAATACATACTAAAAGAGGTAGGTAAAGGGAAAAAAAGGGAAAAAGGGGAAAATATGTTCCCCAGCTGGGACTCGAACCCGGAATCCCGGTGTAGGATACAGATGTTCTAGCGATTAGGCCACTGCACCGTTAAGGGTATAGACCATGGATTCACATGTACGTAATGTTAATCTGTACGCACCGCCATCTATTGATGAATAGAATTTTTTATCAATTTTTAACTTTTTAACTTTTTTAAATTTAAAAAGGCTGCGGAGTTCTTTAGTTATGCGAGTACGGACTAATTCGACTGAACAACTATATAAATAGATAGTGGGCATGACTGCTATAGCCTACCAAAATCTTAATGCTTGTTAAAGTCGAGCGCCTCAGATTTTTATAGCTTTATAAGCTTTAAAACCAAGTAAAAAGGTATATTGCAGTATTTGATCACTTTTTTTTATGTGAACACATTTTTTGGGAAACACATTTTCTAAAGAGAAAAGTAGAATAAAACAGATGAACATGTGATAGCAGATGACATTGTGAAGAATTAAATAAGAATTCCTGCTGAATAATAGAATATTTACGTAATATATATATATATATATATATCAGGTAAATTGCAATTAAAGTTCTTTGCTACACTAATTTGACCTTTATCCTGACACTGCTTCTTTAGATATGTGACGAGTTTAAAAAGATCAGCAGACGTCTATACGATAAGCCGACGTCTGTGGAGGATCTCTCAGAGATTAGAGACTGGATGATAACTGTGCCAGAGTTACTGAAGGAACTGCAGGAGAAAATAGATCACACCGTGGCAGATTATGAAGTCCTGGATGAATTCTGCTACAGCCTCAACAATGAGGACTTTGATGCTAAGTTAGTACAATAGTGGGCGAGTGTGTAAATTCTAAAGAGTATGCTATGGCATTTCGTCATTGTGCATGAGACAAATTATTAGACGAATGTTGCATGCAATATTTATAGCTTCCATTATGATATTATATTATTATATTGTTCCATTCTGTTGAAATATTTAGTATAAATATTTGTTTTACGCATGCAGGCATGCATTCAGTCATGGGTAAACATATACATGACATGTTATGCAATGAGCCTCCATTATAAGAAATATACTAGTAAAATGATTGTTATCAATATTGTAAATATTATTTTATTATTAATAGCTAACCTGACATGTACTTGGTTAAATTTTTGATTTCGGTGTCTACTTAGGTGGGCTGCTGTTGCATGGCCTTACAAGATTAGCCAGCAGATGGAGCTAGTTGTAATGCAGCATGAAGAAGATGAAGAAAGATTTCGCAAAGTGCAGCAGCAGGACCAGACCAACTTCAATGACAGACTCGACACATTACAAGTGCGAAAATAATAATAATTGCAGACGTAGAAACCGTTATTTCACGCCGATAATCAGTAAATGTTAAATTGTAACTAAACGTTGGGCAAAATAGCATATAGGCATATCTAATTTGCAATGAATACTTGTGAACTTCAAAAAGCTGTTCCATGCAGATTTGCTTGTTGCATGTGTGTGTGTTACAGATGGTCGTGGCCGGTCTTTCTGGCTTCACTGATATGTCCAAAGCACATGAGGTAGCCAATGAGGTGAGGAGGATCCAGAAGCAGTTGAAGGAGTGTCAGGAACTAGCTGCAATGTACAACACCAGAGAGAGGCTGTTTAATGCACCTGTGACAAATGTAAGTACATACCTTATCCATATACTGCTGCAGACAGTGTTTAGACATTTCTGATATTCATCTCGCATGCAGTGATTGGCATCAATAATATCGGTGCATGGGAACGCAATATAATGGAATTTCCTCTTGCTTTATTGTTAAGGACGTGCCTCGTAAGATGTTTTGTTTAGTTTAAACGATCACATGTTTGACTTAAGGGTCTTGCACAAGGGTCTTTCCTCTTGTTGTAAAATCACCGCGAATGCACTATAAGTCTAATGTGATTAAACAGCATGATGACCTGGTACTCTTTTAAAGTATTAACAGGTTGTGTGCAAAGGACCGAAAAACATGAATCTCAAAGGAGCAGTGATCATACATCACTGCAAGTCCGTTTCCATTCATCGATGTTATTCGTGGCTGTAATGCGATTCGGCGGTTGTGTGCATTGCAGTATGACAAGCTGGCACGCCTGAATAAGGAGTTTGAGCCATACAGGAATCTGTGGATGAGTGTGTCTGACTGGCTGCGCTGGAATGACAGCTGGATGATGGACCCGCTCACCAGCATAGATGCAGAGATTATGGAGAAGCAAGTCAATGACTGCTTCAAGATCATGCATAAATCTGCCAAGATCTTTCAGGAAGTACCTGGTATAGTTACAGATATTTAATGCAATTATACTGTCTAGAATTTTAAGGTCGATGATAAATGCCAATAAAATCAGTAAACAGCTGTTCATATACTGTTTTGATGTATATCTTTAGCTATGTATACTGTAAACTTGTGGGACTGTCACTGTCTATAGATGGGAAGAATATGATTATCTCTCTAATAGAAGTGTACGCATCAACATGATAATTGTTGCAGTTAACTGTTCATGCTAATGTTGTATATTCACAGCCGTGCTTCAAGTTGCAGCCCAGACCAAACAAGCTATCGAGCTGTTTAAGCCTTACATTCCTCTGATACAAGGGTTGCGAAACCCTGGCATGCGGATGCGCCACTGGGAGCAGGTGAGTAATATAGTATAAGAATGTAGTAGTAATATAGAATGGAGTATAATAGAATACGGCTATTGATGAGCACTGTGTATGATTGCATCTGGATTACTTTACTGTTAAGAGAAATACATTCGAGAGATTGTTGGTTCCCACACTGTTTTTCACACACATTTCCTGTCTTTCTGCATCATTTCCTAAATAGTTGTCTGAAGCTCTGGGTTTCAAAATTCTACCCAAGCCAACTCTGACCTTCAGTAAGTGCCTGGAGATGGGATTGCAGACGCACACTGCTGTCATTGCCAAGGTTGGGGAGGTGGCTGGAAAAGAATACTCAATCGAACAGGTACGTTTGCTGAGGGCAGAAAGCAGGACGTGAATCACAGAGGCTAGCGTACGGTTTTAAAATAGTTGCCTGTTAGTGAGATGATGTTAGTTATTATATTAATTATTTTATGTATAATTAGGTTTTTCAGTAGTGTCTGATGTAGATGTGAGTTACTATTTTATATGTCTGACAGACTTGACGATATTTAACAATAACAGTCTGGTGTATATTTAAATCAACGTTACACACTCAGGCACTGGACAAGATGGAAGCCGAGTGGGAACCAATAGAGTTTGAGGTATCGGCGTACAAGGAGACAGGCACCTACATCCTGCACAGCTCTGAGGAGTCTTCTCAGCTGCTGGACGATCACATTGTTATGACGCAGAGCATGAGTTTCTCCCCGTACAAGAAGCCCTTCGAGGAGAGAATTATCGTGTGGGAGGAGAAGCTGAGAAAGACGCAGGTAGAAAGTTGTACCTTTGTGATGGATCATTTGTTCTTAAGGCGTCAGTTGCGTGCAACACTGTTGCAAAAACGAATTTAGAAATAGGTTGTCTTATTTAAACTGGACAGTGTTGTATTAGGATTGGTGCAAACATGAACATATATTTATGCCCATATAAGGGGGGGGGGTCACTTAGAAGTACGTAGGGAGATTATACACATGTTCCTCCTACGGGTAACAAAATTTACGTAATGACATAATGGTTAGGCCGAAAATTTGTCTGGCGATTCGTAGGGTACATGAAAACAAAATCCAAGGTCATGCAATAATGGAAGATTATACGTATAACATTTGATAAGTGCAATTTGATATACATTGAGTTTAACACAGGCGGGTAGGCTCAGGAGAAGGACAGGTCACACTTGTTCTCATATTGGTGTGTATCGATGAAGTAGGACATAGTAAGTCGCAGTATGCATAATTCACGAACGAGCATGCATGTGACTCAATCATTATTTATAGTGCCTGGTATCATTTAAGCACGAGTAAAAGATTGACACGCATCTATCTATGTCTCTCCTACATATGTCTATAGGACGTGACAGATGAGTGGCTGGCGTGCCAGCGTTCGTGGCTCTACCTGGAACCCATATTTAGTTCCGATGACATCAATCGACAACTGCCTGTTGAGAGCAAACGATACCAGACGATGGAGCGCATGTGGAGGAAGGTGATGAAGATGGCCAGGGATAACTCTCAGGTAGTGTACCAAATTGTGATTGATTCTCTCTGATACTCCGAATTAGCATACTATTTGTGTGTAATTTTTAGCTCGCCTTGACATCGTCCAGATGAGCTATTGCCATGGGGTGTCGTCCATCCGTCAACATTTGGCTACGGTCAACGATAACTCAAGAACCGTTTGACCCACATGTTTCAAATTGCATATAGTTGTTACTCCTATGGGAGAGGTTTGAACGTCTTATTTTGGCAGTCGGCCAGTCGACCTACTTTCGAGCCATGTCCACTTTTTGACAAAAATGGAAATGGCCATAAGTCAGTT